GTCTTTCCTCTAAGTCCTTGAAATCACACGGTTTAGCTGCTCTTCTCAAAGCTGCAATGTATTCTTTTGCTGATTCCCCAGCTCGCTGATCCCTCTGTTCAAATGTGTGCCTCCAAGCAATGACAGATTGTTTGGGCTGGAAGTGTTCCTTTAAAACTTTCTTCAGATCGGAGTATGACACCGTTTCCAGCGAGGCCGGGGCGATTAGGTTCTCGGCGATCTCAAAGGGGTCTTGCCCACAAACGCACATTGTGGCAGCCTTTAAGCCTTCCTCCCTTATCTGGTTTACGCGGAAGTAAGTCTCCCACTTCTCGGGGTGAGAGACGTCGAATTCCGCTAAACGCCCAACTTTCGCCATGATCGAGGATCAGGGTCTTCTTCAGCCGCACGCACCCTCCAGCGATTTCGTACTGGCAGGATAAATGCTGACTTCAACGCCATTTTTCCTCTTCCGGACTTCTTTGGGTGAGTCTTCAAGCTTCCCTAGCTGTATAGACTGGATCCCACCTTCGTCGCCAGTGTTAAGTCCGGAGAATAATGGCGCTTGAGACGATGCATTTCTAACAAGTCTTTATTCTCTGCTTCCAATCTACGAACAACCCGAGCAGAGGCACGCAGGCCTCTATTTATACCTTCTAATCCCCGGGCAAATCCAACCAATCACAAGGCGGTCTTTTCCCGCCTTGCGCATGCGCGCAAGGCCGGCGCCACTCAGTCTGGTCCCGGGCAGCTTTTGCAAATGCCCGGGACTCTTGCAACGTCCCGAGCCTGCTTTTGCAGGCTCAGGACACAACAATATTCCTCTTTTTAATGAACTTTATTGGATTTTTCTATCCACAAGAGGGAAGTCCAACATAAGGAATATCTACTCAAGGTTTTCAGCTTTGAAACAAAACATAGATTAAGAGATTTAGACTGGGAAATTGCCTAGATGTTTAGTATAAAGATCAACAATAGTTAAATGTTGTCTTTTAAGAGTTTAAGGCTAGCTTCTTGCCTTGCAATCTTTTTTTTCTTGTATTATCTGCATTTATAAATTACAATATTGAGATTGAATTTTTGTTTCTGGTTGTAAAATTTCTTTTTAGCTATCAAAAATAAATAGATGACATTGTAAGGAAGGGATTTAAAAAGCAGAAGAGATTCTACATTTGTTACAATCAACCTGCTTTATTTTATTGTGAAATATATTCTCACAGATTAATTGCATTATACTGGAATATAATATTACCAATAAATTCAACAAAAACAAAAAATATTTGGATTCTTTTAAGGCTGACTTTAATGATGAATGTAACAAATGAACAGGCACCAAAAGTTCTCTTCAGTTCAGAGAACACAAAAAACAAAGCTAAACATGTTCAAAGGTATTCCTAAAATTTTGGGAAAGATTATTTTGAAAGAGAAGTGGAAAACTTACTCAAAACCTGATAAATTCACTGACACGACAAAAAAATAAAATGCCACATGATATACTTCTTAAATTCATATATTTCAAGACAAAAGAAGCAATACTAGACTAAAGAAGAAGAAATACTCCCTTAAAATTCAGAAACAGAATAATTGAGATTCTATCAAAAGTACCTCCAGATATTCTTAGAAAGAAATGAAACATTAAATTTTTGACAATGGCTCAAAAAAAATCTGATATGGATGTCCATTCTCTTTCATCTATAGGCCTTTATGGGTGATGGCAAAGCTTTTGCATATTCCACGGATGATGCCAATGGAATATTCCAGTCACTGGCTGTGACAGAGTAAGGTAGTAAAGGCAGAAAACAGACAGAAAACCAAGTTGTACAAAGCATGTTATTTCTTCTTAAACTATTTCTCAATATTAATAGTACGAATAATTAATTTAAAAGGAAAAATAACTTTTTGAAACTCTGAAAGGAAAATGCACATATTCAAGAATCCCATAAAGCTGTCAGAATGAAAATACTTTGATCATACATTTGTCGTCTCAGGCATAGATTTGAATATTTGAATTTGGAATTTGAAAAACAAACTCAAGATGAACCAGGGAAATATATGTTTTCAGGCTGAATTTGAGCAAACAACAATTGATACAATTTATGTCCCAAATAATAACAAAATAAAGATCTATTAAATATTTTTTCAATCTCTTTTTATGGTGCAAAGATATTCTGATTCTTGGAAATATAAATGGTGTGTTTTCCTTCTGAAACATGGACAAATCCACTTTATCTAAAAGGAACTCTGGCAAACTTTCCCATAATGTTTTACTTCATATATCATTACTATCTTTTTTCAATGTATTTGAATGTAAATACCTTGCCGGGAAATAACTTATATACTGCTCTTTAGTTCATAATGTGAAGAGGTATGTGCTGAATTTCTAATACATTGTTAACTAATCCTATGCATGTGATAGTAGCAGTGTTACAAACACAGAATATTATTCTAATAATTGTAAGATTAAACAAAGAAACTTCCAAACTGAAGAGGTGGAAATTTAACAAATGTGTATTAGTACAAGTGGATATGAAATTGAAATGACAAGAATTAAAAAGCTTCCAAACCAATTTAATTTAATTTAATGTTTCTTTTTTATCTACAGTATAGCACTCCAACAAAGCACTTAAAAGGATGTGTATCTCTCTGCCTTAAAACAGAAAGAAAGCTATACAAAAATAGGACATACTATGAAAGAACTGAAGCAACTAGAATTAAGAAACAATCATCTATTTAAAAAATGAAATAAATTTATAATCAAATAGATTTAATGGAAGTAAATGAGATCCATGAGAAGTTGAATTTTGTCAAACAGAAATATTTTGAAAAAAGCAATGTCATATAAATTGTTGTCTTCCCAATGCAAAAGGAGCAAGACAAAATAACTGTTACCTCTATTTGGGATAGAACAGACATGTTTCTACAATATATATGATAAAGCAATTTGTTATATATTATTAAAGATTATATAGTGAACAACATTTAGTCCAGAAAAGACTAAAGAGCATTTGAATACAATATTACTCATAAAGCTCATAGATAGATCAACAAAAAGTAGTTCTTAATAAAGATATAATTAAAAAAAATAGAAACAGAACAAAGTTCCAGGATATTATAGCATCCTTTCCAGGAACCCAGAAATTTTAATTAAATTGTTAACTCAAGTATTGAATAAGATTCCAAGAATCAAGAATTTCCTTAGAAAGCTTTCATCTCCCATTTGTTGATCAGCATAGATAAAACATTGTCAGGTATGCCTCAGCAAGAGAATGATCTTGAAGTTTAGGAGTATTCCATATATATCTATTATATAAATTGTATCAGCCAGGAAAACTATATACAAAAAGCAGCAGTTGTAACTAGTATCAAATATATTTGTATTTATTTACCTTTTAATGTCATTAATGAGTCTGTTCTTTTCCTGGACTACTCTTTTATGATGCATTCTATGGAAGTCACGCTCTCTCTGCATTTTTAGCAGTGCATCTTTAGCTTTACTGCATGGAAACAAAAAAAATGATTTCTACATAAATTTCTATTCTTTAGGGAAGTAAGGCATCTATCTTAAAATATTCTTAAAATCTCCAATAAAAGAAGCACCTTAGCACTTGATCTAACTCTATTTCCTGTCCTGGTTTCATTTAACCTGTTATTTGCATCCCTCATTTGTTTTTGTCAACAGAAAGTATAATGGTGACAACAGCTAGATATATGGCATGTTCTTTGTTATTTTGGCATGAATTTTGTTGCTAGCCTCTGCATTTTCCTTCTTTTCTTACAGTCAAAACATTTTGTGGCATGACTGAACTTTGAGTGAGTGAACTTGCTGTTGCCTAACAGCTTTGTTCTTTTCCTATTCATGTGAACTCTGTGTGCCTTACAATTCATTGAAAATCAGGATGTAAGGACCTGTCCCAGCTGGTCCCTCAGGAAAGCAAAACTCTTGACTCCATTACAGTTAATCAAAACTTTTACTGAGAGATAGTGGATGCAGAAAAGTCAGGTGGAATTTGAAGGTCCCATACAAAGCGCAAGGCAATTCTTTCATTTTCCCCAAATCCAGCCCCCGACGAATCCACCGGCAGCCAATATGATGCCATAGAGAAGCTATGAGAACACTGAGGTGTTGGGTAGATAACAGGTCACTCTCAGGGCACGACAGCCTTGGAACCAGGCTGGAACCCCTCCCTCTAACAGAATGACAGGACACCTGCATGGTGCCCCCCAAAAGAACGATGTTAGTCCTGCAGAAGAAAACATAATAAACAGGGAGAGAAAGAAAACATAGGATTACAATATACACTAATTTAGGTTTATAGGATATTGGTTATGAAAACATGTGACGATGGTTCACCCACTTGTTTTCAGCTTTGGGGAAATCCTTCCATGTGACTAAGTACTGGAGTTCTCCCTTACGTCTGCGGGAATATAAAAACTCATGAATTTCAAAATGTTGTTCCCCCTTGACCATTAGTGGTGCAGGAGATGGTGGAAGGCTGGGTCTAATAGGAGAAACAACCTCACACTTTAATGGACTACAATGGAACACAGGGTAGACCCTACACAGGGATTTTGGCACTTCTAACTCTACAGTCACAGGGTTGATGATATACTTAATGGGGAAAGGCCCCATGAACTTGGGTCCCGGCTTTATTGACAGTTGCAAGGACTGTAGGTAACATGTAGACACAATCACCAATTCTGAATGGTTTGGGTTCTGTGCCCTTCTTGTTGGCTTGAGGTTTGTAAGCTTCTCGGGTGTCAGCAAGGGCTTTTCTCACAACAGGCCTATGTGTTTCATAATTGGGAAACCCATTCCTTTAATGAAGCCACGAATCAGGGGCAGTTCAGGCATAGGAGTAAAGTCTTGACAGTAGCCACTCGGAAAGGGGTGAATCTGGTGCTACTATGTACCGAATTGTTGTAGGCCACTTCTGCAAAAGACAACAAGTCAGTCCAATCATCTTGTTGATAATTAATAAAGCATCTGAGATATTGTTCTAATACTGAGTTTACAGCCCCCATTTGTTTGGGGGTGATGACTGGAACCAAGTAAGTTTAGAAGTGAATTGCACCCCCCCATCTGAAATGATGTGTTGAGGTGCCCCAGGTAATCGGTAAATATGATGCAAAAATAATTTGGCTAGCCCCTGCACTAATGGGATTTTTGGACATGGAACAAAGTGTACTTGTTTAGAAAATAAATCAGTTATGAGCCATATAATGGTGTTGCTTGAGCTTTCTGGGAGTTCCATAATGAAATCCATAGAAATCTCTCTCCAGGGTGCTGAAGGTTCAACTACAATTTGGAGAAGTCCTGGAGTTTTCCCGTCTTCATTTAGTCGCAGCACATACAGGGCAGCTTGCCACATAGCTCTCAATGTCCTTCTTGAGAGACGGCCACCAGAACTGTCTTTTTATCAAATGCAAAAACTTTATAAAACCAAACTATCCTGCCACTTTGGAATCAAGGGCCTTTTCTAAAACCATCAGTCTTTGAGTTTCTGGTACATAAAGCTTAACCCCTACCCAAGCCAGTCCATCTTGGACTGAGCAAACATTTGCATGACTTCGAAACCATGTGTCCTCTTTCAACGCAGCCTTAAGAGCTGCAGCCACTCTATTGTCTATTGGAGACTTCCTCTTGCCCCGTGCTTGGGTAGTCACTTGGCCGGCTAGCTGGTGAGATGGGAGTAGCGGTTTGACTATTTCCGCTTTTGGGCAGTTGTATTGAGACATACGTGACAGGGCATCGGTTAGGAAGTTTTTCCCCCCTGGAAGACAGTGCAGTGTGAAAAGTAGTTAAAATACTGTGCCCATCATACTTGCTTTGGAGATAAGTTTCCAAGGGGTTTTTAGTGCCTTCAAATTCTTGTGATCAGTCCACACCTCGAAAAGTATCTTGCTCCCCACCTAGCATTCCACTGTCCATTTTAGAGGTTGACTGGGTTTAGGTTTGTCCCCCCCTTTGGTCTTTAACAGATTTGTAATGGGGTGGGCTATTCGGGTAAACGAGGGGATGAACTGCAAGTAAAAGTTAGGAAAACCCAGGAAACTTTGCAGCTGCTTCCTGGTGCAGGGTGGAGCCCATTCCAATACCACTTTGACCTTTTCAGGGTCCATTTGCGTGAGATGCGATAGCCCGGGTAGTTTATTTTGCTTTGGTGGAACTCGCTTTTAGAGACTTTAGCGTATAACTTGGCAACTTCATGTGTAAATCAAAATGTTTCAATGTAAATCAAAATGTCACCCCGGTACACTAGCACCCCCTTATACAAATGCTTGTGCAGAACTTCATTAATTAACTGCATGAACACAGCAGGGGCTCCCTGTAGCCCAAAAGGGAACACTTTGAATTGGAAACAACCTAACGGTCTACCACTTGTCCCCTTTCCCTGATTCTCATGCAGTAATATGCTTCCTGCAAGTCCAATTTAGTAAATATTTTGCCCTTAGCTAAGTGGGCTAACATATCCTTCATAAAGGGAAAGGGATAGATATTCTCCACACACACTGCGTTAAACCCTTTATAATCCAAGCATAGATGAAGAGTCCCATCTTTCTTTTCTTGGAACAGGACCAGGGCTGTCACCTGGGGTCGTGCAGGCTATGTGAAACCTCAGGCAAGATGCTTGTCAATGAACAGCTGCAGTTCCTCCAGTTACTGTGGGGTCATTGAATACAGTTTCAGTTTTGGGAACTTGGCCTCCTGTAAGATGTCTATAGTACAGTCCATAGGTCAATGGGGAAAGAGTTCATCTGACCCCTTTTCACTAAACACGTCTCTGAAGTCTTGATATTCCTTGGGTATGGTAGGGAGATCCTTCCCATTCATGGCTGCCCCTGATTCACGCTGCGGCCAGTTGCCTTCTGAATTTTCCCCCACTTCCAGGAGGGGCGGCCTATTTGTATTTTTAATAGCCTCCTCCTCCAGTTCATGTAGGATTGCATTTCTTTAGCCAAGCTAACCCTAGCACTAGGGGTCGTTCCATCCCAGGTGCCACTATGAAGCTCAAAGTCTTGTGTGATGAAAGTTGCTGGGATGGCCTCTGCGACTGAACCATATAGCTGGCAAAAAGCAATTGGAACTTTTAGCTGCTTCAGCCAGATCCCGAGTTTTTCAACTAGTGCTAGGTTTACCAGGCACCTGGTACAACCTGAATCTAATAGGGCCCTTAAATTGGCTTTTAGTCCCTATTCTTGAAAGCTCAATTCTATGGGGGTTGTTATAGGTATAATCGGGCCACTTACCAGAGGATTGTCATTGGAGTCGGTGTTGGTCAATCCCTGGCCATTGTCTGGTGGAGTCATAGTTTCCTCGGTCTGTTTTGGCGATGGGATGAACTCGATGACCTCCACTTTCTTTAGCGCAGTCTCTGGCCTATGGCAGAGCTTTGGTGGTCTTCTCTACAGGGCTGGGGTTCGCTTTCTTGGTTGGGTGGATGGTTTTGCACTCTTGGCTGCACTTAAAACAAGCAGTGGAGCGAACCTGCAGAACTTGTGGCTTAATTACTTCCCTCTTCTCATGAGGTAATTTCATCCATGATCGTGCCACTTAGTACTTGTTGAGTGCTTGGTCAATCATCACCTGCTCTGCCAGGACATAACCTAATGGAGGGTTGCAGGGATCCCCCTCGAGACGCAGGTGTCTTTGAAGCAGCTGATGAGGATGTCTTTTGAACAGTCGTTGAGTCAACATGCCGGATCATGAAACTCCGCAGTATACTCCGCCACAGCTCAGCGACCTTGTCTCATGGTTTTGATACGATCCCCTGCTTTGTGGTCAGCCAGGGGATTTTTGAATCAATGGCAGAGTGCCGTCACGAAGCAGTCGAAGTTTCTCAGTTTGGTTGCATTTACATTGTGGAGCATCACCATCCAACGAGTCGCAGCTACTTCCAGTGCTAGGGTGACACTCCTCATCTTGGTGCCCTTAGTGGGGATCTCCAGCCCATATTCTTGCATATAAGTTAAGACATGGGCCAGGAAGAACCCCAAATGTTGGGGATCTCCATCAAACTTCACACCCATGGGTGGGGGTTTGCTCCTCTTTGGTTTCGCTGTGCTGGCCCACCCGGGACGTTGGCCATGACAGGTATTCTTTGCGCTGCTCCCATGGCCATGGTGCCACTGGCTGGGGTTGCCGAAACTCCTACTGTGGTGTCCGATGGCAATGCCCTCCCGCCATCCTCCTCCTGTCTTACCAGCAGCCATCCTGGCTTGGGATTTGGAAAGCATCCATCATAAACTGCATGGCTTGCTTCATTAGGAGATCAGCATGGTCAACCCCTCTGCCTTCTTCCTTTTTGTCCTCGAGCTCTTCCAGCTCCGGTTGCCATTCATGTCATCGGCTGCCTTGACTGCCCTGGGTGAGGCTCTCCCCAGTCATCTTTCTTGCTGACGCCGATGGACTACCTGAGTCTCAATGAGTCTCCCAGGCTGATGACCTCCTCCATCCACTTGGAGAGGTCCAACCCGGGGGGAGCCTTGGTGGAGG